GGAGGAGGAGGAGGAGGAGGAGAACGGAGGCCGACACGACAGAAGGCTCGCGGGACTTTTTCTCTTCCTCTTCTTCTCGCGCGTCCATTGATCGTCGCGGATTTTCACTTTGACCTTTTTACGCGATTGCATGGGGCCGCCCATGACTTCTATTCTCGTCCTCGTGATTTTCATCGCCTTTCTAAAATACGCGGGGAGAACGTACGGCCGCTGGCCTTTATAGTGCACGACAGCGTTTAATGGGAATTTTTTTCTCCCAAGTAGCATCGTCAGGTGATAGGCTACGATACCAACATTGTTCTTCCATTTTTTTCAAAAGCTAACTAGCAATGTTTTACGTTACATAATTTTATGTGCCAAATGTTTTTTGCTTTCTTTTTTTTTTTTTTTTTTCTCCTTTAAATTATCATCGCTTATTCCATGGTGATTATTAGTCGTGTGCCGCAAACTCGATGATTTATCGAAATTATAAATTCTGTGTCACTCGGAATTCTTCTCCTTGTTGCAGTGTGTAGCAAAATATTAACCAATCGCCGACAAAATTCTACCAAAATATATACGCCACAGATAATCTGTTGACTTGCAATCCATTTCATTACAGTTACGTACGCACGCGCGCACGCATACGCGTACACACGCTCGCGCTCTCTCACTCACGCGCACACATATTTAACATTTTTCACGTTATTACATTAATATATATTTTTTAACGTCGTTACTAAAGTATGTTCAAGTACTCGTCATTTTGCGATATAAATATTTGCAGTAGTACACCTGTTATGAAGTAGATTTTACATTTTACCATTGGATACTATTTTAAAGAAAAGATGCAAATTAATTGCTTCAACATAATAGGGATAAGATTGCTTTTCTTAAAATAAAAAAAAAGGGGAATTTACATTTCTTACCTAACTACCAACATTATTACATTATTTGAATAGTTAATAAGATTTTAATCGGGCGAGTCGTTTAAATCAGTCGGTTAAATCGAGTCATAATGACAAAAAAATTATATATTTTGATTTATGTTTTTACTTGCAGATGTTGAAATTTAACTTTAAATAAAGTCAAGGGAGATATGACAACGAAGATGGCTTTTGATCCTAGAAATGTGAAATATCCATCGGATTTGCACCATTCGCAGAGTATAACTTCTTATCCGTACGCCAACCATCATGTCATTCAATCGATTCAGCGAACGGATGAAAACAGAAATGAAAATCATTGCAACAACAAGGAAATGTGCTCGACCTCGTCTCAGCAAACCTCTAGTACACAAACGATTCAAAAAGTCGATGCTGCCACTATGACGGACCCCCTACAGATAGACTTTCGACTAACCTCTGAATACTTGGCTCGCTGTTCCAATACACTTGGATTGCCCTACGTTTGCAAATACGAAGACAATAGCAATAACTCTTCGATACACAACTGCCAGGATGTTCGACCAAAGATTGAATACGATCTAGAACCACAGCGAATCAATGGTATCATTATCATCTTACTTAATATTTGTCTTTTAACTGCAGTTGCGAATGCAGTGGCTTATAATTATTAATTTCTAACTTTAAATTATAATCAGCAGTATTTCTTATGTATGGTGTAAAATTAGAATACCTAATCTTTTTATATTTACTAAATTTGCAGCTAGCTTATAAAATATTAATGAAAGCAATATTTTTGGACAATCGGTATGAAAATAAGTACACGAGTGCATTATGAAATGGATAAACTATCGGCGTGCTGGATGTCTGTGTGCATGTACGTTTATTAAAAGGTAGATCGATCAATTAGGTGGCAAACTGAATTAAAATTACATGGTAAAAATTGTATTCCCATGACAGAAGAAGCTAGACAATCGTGTATTATAATATATATTTCTAAATAAATAAAAGCACTGTACAATGCTGCGAGCAATATTCTCTGCAGAAAAACAAATAAATTTATAAGCCAAACTAGAGCTCCATAAGAGAGAGTGAGATATATATATATATATATATATATATATATATATATATATATATATATAGAGAGAGAGAGAGAGAGAGAGAGAGTGTGTGTGTGTGTGTGTGTGTGTGTGTGAGAGAGAGAGAGAGCATATGAGCATAAGAGAGGAAAGCCCAAGAGCCAATAACGAAAGACGTTTCCCTTGCTTAATTTCAGGCATGCTGATTTACCACTGCCCAGAATGTGCGTACCGTTTCGAGGACCGCGAGACACTACAGGAGCATCTCGAGGATCACAAACAGCGCCCGCACGTATGCGACATTTGCGGAGCAAGCCTCAAGCGGAAGGAGCACCTCGACAGGCACAAGCAGGGTCACAACAAGGACAGGCCCTATCAGTGCAGCACCTGCTGCAAGGCTTTCAAGCGCAACGAGCATCTCGCGCGCCACATGGTCATCCACTCGGGCAGTAAGAACCAGGTGTGCACGGAGTGTGGCAAGGCCTTCTACAGAAAGGATCACCTGAAGAAACACCTCCAGAGTCACGGGAGCAGCGCCAAGAGCAAGAGCCCGAGTAACTCGCAAAGCGGCGTGACTGGCGGAGGCGGAGGCGGTAGTGGTGGTGGTGGTGGTGCTGGTGGTCCTGGTGGTGCTGGTGGTGCTGGTGGTGCCGGTGCCGGTGCTGGTGCCGGTGCTGGTGTTGGTGCTAGTGCTGGTGCTGGTGCTGGTGCTGGAGGTGCCAGTGGCGGCAGCGGCAGCCAGAACAACAATCACGAAGAAGGTTTAAGCACCTTCGCCATGATGATGAGGCAGGCTGGACCTCCTCCCTTTTCGATTTTGCGAACCTAAAGTGACGAGCGTTAAGGCCCTTCCGGGCTCCCATCCCTCGTCCTCGTTACACTCACTGTCCTAAACTCACTCTGATTTCCTCGACTCGACTCCAATCCGTTACCGATTCCATTCTACGCGATAGAGATAAACGAGTCGCCAGTGATTGCTCTCGGAGAACATGCGTTTTGTTTTTTTACTCTCGCGAGCTCGACGCGACACATTTCGAATTAATCGATGCGAGGGACTTTGATAATCCAATGCCGTTCGCTCGGATAACACTTGCGCTTAAAAGTAATCGAGTCCATTCATAATTTTTCTTATGGAAAATTGTGGACCTAATGGAAAATATTTGACATCGGCATAAAGGACTTTGTATAGTCGGCCTTTAATGCAACTATCAAAGTACATATAAACTAATTATGCGACAAAGTCTCAGCGATATTAATGGATAAATCGATGAAACTTGGATGTTTTAAAGTGTTAAAATGTGTGCTATTGGTACACATCCCATTTTAAATAACTTGGAGTCCCGCATAGCTTTCGAATCACACGAATTGCTTCGTTGTTTGTAATTATAATTTTTCAAACAACCAAGCCAACGCTAGTTTTCTTTTTATATATTTTTACATGGTAAATAATTTTAACAATAAATTTTGTGTGTTAAGTTAATTATTTATTATATTAAGGTTTCCTCGTCTCTTATTAAATGCAATACAATTTCTTTCATATCTTCGTTTCTCTTTTTCCTTTTTTTTCTTTCTTTCGGTCCGTTTTTTTTTGTTTTTTTTTTTGCTTTTTTTTTGTTTTGTTTATTTTATAAATATTTAAATAGCAAGTATGTCAGGCCGATAGAAGTTTTAGCGCGTTTAGATAGATTCACCGCTAACCGCTTCTATCGTACGAAAAAATTTGTCTAGATTAAGTTAAGAAAGAATTATCATGTTTTACGAAGGCGGTGAATTCGCGAAGATCATTCGTAAGTCGAAACTCTGAACAGTACTTACATTATTGCGATAGTAAAATAATTACGATTGTTACATAACACGTACGTAGGGATTTGGTAAACAAATATAAATGGAAATGAAAAGAAATTTTACGAGCGCGTTCGTATTATAAACGTACAATTCATAGTAAATTTTTCCTAATCTGTATAAAGTAGATTTACTATATTTCGCAAAACGGATAATGCGACTGGTATAAACGTAAACTTTTGTTATATACACGAATCGTACGATCAAGCGTAAATTGAAAATGTACGTGCGGCATACTCGTACGTAGAGTATAAGTGCTTTATTTATGAACGAGTGATTTTGCAATGATCGATGATAATCATTTGTATTAATGGAAGAATACAGTTACTTACTGATGAAGAAATTGTTAATGCTATTGTAAAAAAATTTTCATCATCATTATTATTATTATTATTATTATTATTATTATTATTACGATTATTATTATTATTATTACGATTATTATTATTATTATGAATTGACCGATTTATAGATTGGTAAGATCACTTTAGTTGTTGAATTAAAAATATCTGTAAAAGATGCATGAGCGTTCATTTTTATCGGGAAACAATTGCAAATTTAATAATTCATATCGAAAAGCGAATTCATTCGGTTGTTCATGATACGACTATTGTACACACAAATTTTGATTCGAAAAGTTTATAAAATTTTTTCCTGTTTGTATTTTTGTAATTAATAATTTATAAATTTGCATTAATTTTTAACCAAAATAAAAGACTTCTTTAATATTAATAAATATGGTCTTTCAATTAATTTAACTATTATTTACTATAAATAAAAATTAATCTCTCTCTCTCTCTCTCTCTCTCTCTCTCTATATATATATATATATATATATATATATATATATATATATATATATATATGTATGTATACATAATTTTATTGTAATGAATATTTTTAAATTTCATGTAATTATTCTTAGGAGTTAATAGATTAAATGTATATTCAATGCTATACAGATTGTTTTTCTTTGCAGTTTATATTCGTTAATGCCAATGAAAATTAACTATTACTACAATGCATTAAAATAACAATTATCTATCAAATGTTTAGAAAATTAAATAATAGCTAAATTATAAAAAAAAACAATAAATCAGATAAATTACTTTTCTTATAAAAACAAAAAAAAATATATATGTATATATATAGTATAAAAAATATATATGTGTATATATATGTATATATATGTATACAAAAATTAATCATTGATAGTTAATTTTAAATTTTACGAAATTATTAAATAAAAGGGATAATTTTAGTTAATGTTAATTTTAATTTATAGGAGCTCTCGTACATTTATATCAACTTGCACAAACTCAATCCAAGCTAAAGTGTAATCTTAAAAATAGTTTAGTTGTAACGATAGAGAAGCATATGCAATGACGCGATACCATAAATACAATCACAAGTTCAATTAATTATTTACTTACGTTAATATTTATTTGCAAACTTACAGAAACAATTTTTTCTTCCTTCACAAGATACATTATCAGAAATTTATATTTCAAGAAGAATAACGATCTCAATTAAGATCAGGTCAATATGCATTTCTTTTATTATTATTATTTTAATCTATTAGAATTAAAATGATCTTTAAATAGAATTTTATCAGATTGTTGGCATTTATGTATAGCTTATAGCTTATTAGATAATCTTCAAATATATTATTACTATGTACTTCCAAGTAATTATTATGACTATAATAAACACTCGATTGAATTACTCTTTATAATGATAAATTTAGTTCAATGAATAATGTCTGCAGCCATTATATAAACTTAATAGAGTTAATGAATAAGCAATTTTTAATACTTTTGAAGTAACTATTAACTTAATGTTACTTTATGTTATTAAAATATAATAAATCAGCTTTAATGAATATATATATATATATATATATATATATATTAGTGTACGTAAACGTGACTTATTTTCAATTAAGCCCAACATTTACTTCTAGTAATATGTTAATAAAAAATGTTAAACTTCGAATGGCAGTTTATATTCTTTTCTACGTTTTCAATTCATTTAACGAAATAATTTTTAAATATAGTTGGAAATGTTTTAATATTCTTTATTAAATCTTAGGGTACTTTTACTTTTTACAAATCATTATTCGTGCCATTACACTGGACTTTCATACGAAAGTGTAAAAGATGGGAAAAAATCAGCAAAACTACATGAAAATAAAATAAATCTTGAGTTTTCTCACAATTTTTATTTATATATATATATATATATATATGTGTGTGTGTGTGTGTGTGTGTGTGTGTGTGTGGTATGTATGGGCTATTACATAAAGCAGCAGGGGCGGGGGCACGGGCGGGGGAAAGAGGGTGGCGGTGGAAGGGAGGTGGAGGAAGAGGAGGAGAGGGAGGAAGTGGGGTTATTGTGTTGAAAAACGTTCACAAACTTAACGTCCATATTCAGCGCAGCCTGAACATTCCTCACGCCTACATCGTCCTCCCCTACTTTTGTTTTCTAATGTCTTATTTTAAACAATCTTTGCAAATCCCTTCTTATCGATATCATACAGAATACATGTTCGACTCGACGGAAGATCGTTAACGCGTTAGCGGTGCTCAATATTCGTGCCGCTTAATCGATTTCTTCCTTCGTCACTTTCGAACTACACAACACGATAAATATCTTCGATGAAACATAAAGTGCAAAGAATCGATGGGGAGAAACTCATTAAATTCAATTGTCGCTGTCCTTTATTTCACTTCTAGTCATCGGCGAAGCTGCATTTTATTTATTTGATTCTTTTTTTTTTTTTTTTTTTTTTTTTTTTTTTTTTTTTTTTTGTTGCTTACATTTGCTTGTAAATTCATAATGAACTCAATAATATACTTATCGTTTGAATGCATCAGAATGCACAAATATAATCATTTCACATTTAAAAAGTAATATCACGGAAACAAATACAAGGTATTACTTCTAAATTAAAATTAATGGTTATAATTTAATTATATTTAATATTGTAGAATTTAAACAATACATTTATATTTACTTTGCGATAAATAGTTTAGCATTGCACAAAAAATACGTGATTTCCTAATAAAATTAATCGATTGCTTTTTCTCATACTCTTTGTTATGAAAAGATTGTTAAAATTGTAAATTGAACGTTAATCGATTATTTGTTTTTATTTGTTTTTTAATAAGCAAATGATTACAGACATTTTGACATTTTGACATTTTGACATTTTTGTATGATACGTTAGAGTAATAATCATTCGGAATATTTACAAAATTATAAATACTTTTCAGCTCCAAATTTAAATCATATGTTTCCTGACGCAAGAAAAATTATTGATTTTTTGTGCAACCAGTAAATTATTCATTTGAGACTTTGACGATAACAATCAAATTTTATCCGAATGTAAGAAACCAATTATTATAAAAATTCGAAGGCATTTCGCACAGAAGAACTATTGCTTGCACTATTGTTTGTATTTTCATTTTACGCAATTTACATGCTAATCTATTGAAAAAAGAGTTAAATGCTTTGTACTATGTCGAGGAATTTGTATATCTCCGCATTTTCCAACATTACCCATTCCACAGTCTATTTTCACAATTTTCTTAAACGCATACTCACTATCATTATCTTGTATTACTTTTTGCTTTACATTTATTCGTCATCTTCGTAATGGGATATTTTTCTTTCATTATCATTTTCATTTTAATATTCTTAAGAGTTACGTCGTGCAAATTAAAAAATTTAATACACTTATGACTGGCTTTACATCGAAAATTAATTCATAAATTTGAATAGCACTGGTCAAGTAACTTGGTACCTTTTATTTTTTTTTATTTTTGTTTTGTTTTTGTAATATCTATTCAATGAAAACATTTAAAGCCGTGAAACTGTTGATTTTTATTGTCGAAGGTTCTGTGCTTATTCTGCAAACAAAGCCCAACAAATTCATTGCGATGCATAAAAGACTCTTAATTATAAAACTATGTGCCTTTTTTTTTAACTTCAGATAAATTTTGTGAATTTTCTTATAAACCTTATATTTTAAATAAAAATTTCACGCTAAAGTGCTTTTACATCGAAAGAAAAAGTTCCTATTCGCTTATAAAAAAAAAAAAAAAAAAAAAACCCTGTCGCTCAATTATAATCAACGTACCATTCTCTACTCTAAAAACATAACGATTAATTAAATAAATTAAAAAGACATAAAATAATATTCTTATCCGTGTTCTGAGAAATAAAATAATTTCACGTTAAAATTCTTTGTCGCTGCAATTAAGAGAGTAAAAATTAATATTTTATACTTATAGATTATATAGTTTAGTCTATTATTCGATATTGAGTAAAAATTTAGATTTTCTGTCTATGAAAATTCATGATGCACATTCTGCAATTGGTAAATTAATATTTTAATCGAATAAAATAAATGATAATTAACGTTTTGCTATTCTTTACGTTATCTAT